TTTCATTCGAAATGAAGGTCCCGCTAACAATGTTATCGCAGGAGATTCATCGAAACCAAGTTTCTCTTCGTATCCACAATGTACGTACGGTTTGTGAGTGTTGCGCTTGTAGTGGTCGGTGGCGGCATCGCGTGTTCTAGTGGACGATGGACGACCGGGCGGTTTGGGCTTGGAGGCTGACCGGACAAGTCGGCGGCCAAACGTGAGAAAGTTGACGGCCGCTCGATAAAAGACGCCAGAGCTGGCCGGAGCTTAGAACAGCTTCGTCCGCCGGAAGCGTGGGAATTTGGCGGCTGCAGCTGCTGATCGGACGAAAGACTGGCCGCATATCGCACGGCCGGGCTGACTGTCGGCCGGTGAGTCGGACGACTGTGTTGATTAAGTCTGCTGTGGCTGACTGTTCAATTTGGCAAAGCTAAATGGATGGCGTTGAAAGTGAATGAGAAATTAATTGTCCACGGAGCATTGATAGCGCTGGCGTCGAGTTGATAGTCTGTGGAAATCGACTATGTGCAGCCTGTTCTGTCGTCGCAGCATGTACAGAAATTAGGAGAGTTATGCATACCACCCCTGACAGGTTTGGTATCGAATGCATCCTCATTAAAAGGGTTATAGATTTTTTCTGATCTCCACAGCTTCATAGGGTCACCATTTTGTTGATTCTTGTGTGTTAAGAGGATAAAGATGCAGGGCTTCGGGAACTGCTGTTTCTTCATTGTGTATTTCCACCATAAAGTAGCCTCATTCTTTTGCAGGAAAAAGTCTCCGTTTTCCAATATTTTCTGTTCTCGCATTTCCCGAGCTCAGGTTGTTGGATCTTCAATAAATTGTTGTTTCATCCATTTGGGACATCAGATTTAAACATCTGCAGATATGGTATATTCTATTTCGTTAAATTTAGAATGTATTAAGTCCCTGATCCGACTTTGGAACTGATCATGCATACTATGGACTCCGGACAAAATGCGTTTATCTGAGTTTTCCTGACAATAGGATCAGGTTATGAAAATAAGATCACACAATTTCT